GCTTAACGCTAGAGTAGGTTACTTACTTAGATACTTAAGTGGCCTGTCTTCACTTGCCGTGCAGGCTACAGCACTGTTTTCATCCGTTTCTGTCTCTCGCTAGCGTCATCCACGATGTTGGTATCGAAGTGCGGTGGCGACGTTCGCGAGGTCCAGATCCATTACTCGTTACCAGCTGAGAATGCAGCTGGTCCATCCGTACAACGAACTCGTCAGTCAATCTGGACGGTGGCCTCTCGAGGACGTTTTGCTTCTCGAGGAATCCATTAAAGCTCTTAGTGTCCATCTGTCGTCTGTCCTCCTCATTATATGACCAGCCCATCGATGCTTTGCCTTAAAGACGTATTCCGCTGGATCGCGAAGACAAGACATTGATCTCATATCTAAACTGCGAAGTCCGGCGAGATTTTGGTACGTCGGTTTTACTTTAGAAGACATCGTTCCAGCGCTCTGTGGGTTGTTTGAAGAGTCTTTGACGTAGCCACAGTGTCGGGCCACGTCTTCGCTGCGTAGCAGAGCGCAGGAAGAACAGTTGATTCGAATAGGTGGGCCTGGAGCTCTGGGTCCATCAGCTGGTCTGTGGCTTCCTTTAAGGGCCCGAAGGCGGCCCACGCTGCTCTTTGCCTCCTGTTTAGTTCCTATTTCAGATTCTCCATGTTCATTGAACGCCCGAGATATACGTAAGAAGACGTCTCAGCGATTGGAGAGCCTTCTAATTCCATTTTCTAATTCTCGCAAAAAGCGTTCTTCATGAACTGAGTCTTCTTCCGGTTGATTCGCAGTCCTAACTGCTTCCCTACTTCGTTTAGTTCCTTCAACATCGTCTCGGCTTCAGTAATACTTTTCGAGAAGAGAACAAGGTCGTCCGCAAAACGAAGGTTCGAGAGGAATCTCCCCTCAACTCGTATACCTCTCTCGGTCCCATCCAGTGATTTCATCATCCACTGCCGCTCGTCGACCAAAGGGTGGACCCATCTTACATGAGGACATTGGCCGGTATCGCCTTGTCGAACCCCCTTCGGGTATGTTAAGGGGACGATGGAAAAGCTGTACCGTTGTAGCGCAATTCCTGTAGCAGTCGGTTAACGTCCTCACGTAAAATGGGTCCACCCCTTGGTCGACGATGACAGTATGGCATTAGTCTCGACGCTGTCAAACGCTTTCTCATAATCAAGAAGGTTAGGACGAGAGGTAGGTGGTACTCTCGGCAAACCTCGATTAGAAACTGTCTGAATGCGA